AAAAAAAAAAAAAAAAAAAAAAATATTATAGAGACAAGGTTCGCCAAGTTGCCCAGGCTGGTCTCGAACCTGCAGGCTCAGGGAATCCACTCGCCTGATTTTTTTTTTTCTTTTGGTAGAGGTGAGGTCTTGCTAGGTTGCCCAGGCTGGTCCTGCCTCAGCCTTCCAAAGAGCTGGGATTACAGGCATGGGCCTCAGTACCTGGCCCAAAGTGCTGGGATTACAGGCTGAGCTTCTGAGCCAGGCCAAGCTGTAAAACATAACCTCAAAGAAAATTACAGATGCTTGTCGACTTACAACGGTGCTATGTCCTGATAAATCTGTTATAAATTGAAAATATCGTAAGTCAAGAATGCACTGACATATCTAATCTACCCAACATCCTATCTTAGCCCAACCTACCCTAAATGTGTTCAGAACACTTACATTAGTCTACATTTGGGCAAACTCATTTAACATAAAGTGTTGAATATCTCATGTAACTCATTGACTATTGTACTGAAAGGGAAAAACAGAATGGTTGCATAGGTACTCAAAGTATGGTTTTTACTCCATACGTATTACTTTCGCACCAATCAGTAAACAAATCCAATTAGGTGGAACCACAGTTAAGTCGGGACTGTCTATTTCGCTTGCTTATTTGTTCCAAGCTTCTGAGTAAATAGGTTAGGCAACAATTAAGCCACTAGAGAGAGCTATTTGCCCACTCTTTCTAAAATGCAGCAGCAGGTGTTTCAGCACCAGCGGGACCACCTGGACTTGGAAGGTGGTGTGGGTGGTGTGGATGCAGGGGTGATTGGACCCATCCAGTTGATGAGGCTGACGGTCACCCCCTGACCTCTTTCCCAGAGGTATACCTCAGATCAAAAAGGACAACTCCACCCCTTATGAGGATTTTTATTTCTTCGAAGGCATAAAGTAGCTTCTATAATTTGTGTTTCTCTTTCTTCCTGTTCCTTTTAAATTGAATTTCTTGTATCAGTCAAGTGACTAGAAACAAAGCTGTTTAGAAGTAATGAAGGACACAACATCACCGACCCTGGATTAAAACAAACGAAAACTATAACAGAACATTATAGTAGATCATAGTGTTTGCACAGTGATATCTTGAATGATCACAATTGTAGTTATGTAGGTGAATGCCCTTGATACACACACACACACACACACACACACACACACAGAGAAGTATTTAAGAAGTATTAAGGCTTACAATATCTGCAACTTTGAGCTACAGAGGGAGAAAACAAACGTGGAAAAGGTTAAAACCGGTGAACTTAAGTGAAGGGTATATCAGTGTTTATTGAACTATGCTGCAACTTCTCTGTAGTTGCAACTTTTCAAAATTAAAAGTTAGGAAAGAAATAACTGTTTCCATTGAGAGAAAGAAGAAGAGGAGGAGAAGAAGAAAAGGAGACACAGAAGCCTTAGGTACCTAGGGGACAGAGTAGGTGCCAGTTTTCTTTACTTTTCTTCTTTTTTTTTTTGAGGTGGAGTCTCACTCTGTCGTCCAGGCTCACGGCCACCACAGCCCGGACCTGCTGGGCTTAGGCAATCCTTTGCCTCAGCCTTCCAAGTAGCTGGGACTATAGGCACATGCCACCACGTCCAGCTAGTTTTTGTGATTTATTGTAGAGAAAAGGTCTAGCCAAGTTGCCCAGGCTGATCTTGAACCCCTCGGCTTAGGGAATCCTCTTGCCTCAGCCTCCCAAAGTGCTGGGATTACAGGCTGAGCCACCGTGCCAGGCTGGTGCTAGTTTTCAAGGACAGAGTGAGGGTATCTCTGCATGGGATTGGGCATAAAATACTCAGTAGAATATGCAGCCCCCAGATGTGTATTTATGGTGAATGCCACTCAGAAAATGAAATAAAACCCAGTGTTCCTATTGTATGCAGAAAATGCGGGATCAGAATAATATGTAGGCAAAGAAGCCCTGAAAACTTGTGTTTTGGGCTGTGGGATGAAATGTGTAAATTCACTTGTTCACTGGATTTTGGATTTCCACCAATACTGCAGATTGCTGGCAACTTTGGCCCGTGAATTTGTTTTTATGGACAAAATTGTCTCAATAGTAGTTATGAATTGCGACCAACATGAAAATTTATATTAATTTCATGAATATTAATATATTATTATTAACTATGGACTAAAAAGTAATGAAATCAAAACCAAGATGGCAAATCAACCCACTCTGTGAGTGGATGTGTCCCTCTCAAAGGGTAGGCAGGGTCATCCCCAGGTATCACCTGGCCCTGGTTTTGGCTCTGAGGAATAGAAGCAGCCCTGGGAAATTGTGCAAATCTAGGGAATTGAGACCCAAAGTCCCCAGGGTAAAGCATGGTCCCTCAGGAAGCAGATTCATAAGCACCTGGAGTGTGTATGCTGGGGAAAGAACAATTTCATAAAACTGCCTGATGAATCTACAAATACACCACCCCACCCACCTCATGGAGACTCACTGCAGGAGGGAGCCCCTGCTACTGTTGGAGATAGGGTCTTCTTCTTGTGAGAACGGTGGTCAAAATATGTTAAAACCTATGGTTGGGCCAGGCATGGTGGCTCACACCTGTAATCCCAGCACTTTGGGAGGCAAAGGCAGGAGGATTGCGTGAGCCCAGGAGTTGAAGACCAGACTGGGCAACATAGTGAGACCTCATCTCTACAAAAAAATTTTAAAATGAGGTGGGTGTGGTGGCACATGCCTGTAGTCCCAGCTACTCATGAGGCTGAGGCAGGAGGAATTCTTGTGCTCAGCAGGTAGTGGCTGCAGTGAACTGTGATCTTGCCACTAACTTCAGCCCGAGTGACAGAGTGAGACTCCAACTAAAAAACAACAACAACAAAAATAAAACCCAGAAAAACAAGAAACAAAAACCATGGCTGCACAGATGTTATGCCTTCTAGAGTCACCTTTTGGGTTTTTTTGGTTTGTTTTTGTTTTTGTTTTGTTTTGGTTTGGTTTCTATGAGTTGGAGTCTCACTCTGTCACCCAGACTGGAGTGCAGTGGCCACTCCCAGCCACCGCAGCCTCGATCTGCTGGGCTCTGGCGATCCTTCCGCCTCAGCCTTCCAAGTAGCCGGAATTACAGGCATGTGCTACCACGCCCAGCTGATTTTTTGATTTATTGTAGCGATGAGGTCTCGCTGCCCAGGCGGGTCTCGAACCCGCGGGCTCAGGCAATCCACTCACCTCAGTCTCCCAAAGGCGCGGGATTACAGGCTGAGCCACCCAGCCCGGCTACCTTTTGTTTTTATCAGCAATTAAATCTGCCCCAGGACTTAATTGTGTATTTGGTATCTTCAAGCAGCGATTGTTTCTTTGTGACATGCTTTCATGATTTTACCATTCTGTTTCAGGGAGAGTGGTGAATATCAGTAGTTTGCAGGGTTCAAAGGCTCTTGAAAACTGCAGTGAAGATCTGCAGGAAAAATTCCGGAGCGAATTACTCACAGAGGGGGACCTTGTGGACCTCATGAAAAAATTTGTGGAGGACACCAAAAATGAGGTCCATGAGAGGGAAGGCTGGCCCAACTCAGCTTATGGAGTGTCCAAGTTGGGGGTCACGGTTTTATCGAGAATCCTGGCCAGGCGTCTGGATGAGAGAAGAAAAAGCCGACAGGATTCTGCTGAATGCGTGCTGCCCTGGGTGGGTGAAGACAGACATGGCCGGGGATTACGGCTCCAGGACTGCGGAGGAGGGGGCTGAGACCCCCGTCTACTTGGCCCTCCTGCCTCCGGATGCTACTGAGCCTCAGGGTCAGCTGGTCCGGGACAAAGTTGTGCAAAACTGGTGAATATCTGCTTTGGAGCTTAATGCTTAATAAATGTTGGTAGAATGAGTGACTGAATGAATGAATGAATGCTGACTTTGCGGTTTGATTCTATTTCGATCCTTGAAAAGGATTGTCTTCCAGGTACAGTGGCTCATGCCTGTAATCCCAGCCAGCACTTTGGGAAGCCAAGGCAAGAGGATTGCCTGAGCCCAGGGGCTCAAGACCAGTCTGGGCAACTTGGCGAGACCTCATCTCTACAATAAATACAAAAATTAGCCAGGTGTGGTGGCATGTGCCTGTGGTTCCAGCTACTTGGAAGACTGAGGCAGAAGGATCGCCTGAACCCAGCAGGTCGAGGCTGCGGTGGCCGTGAGCATGCCACTGCACTCCAGTCTGGGTGACAGTCTGAGACTACAATTCAAAAATATAAAATAAAAATTAAAAAGAGAAGGAATGTCCATTTGAATCTTCCTGGGAGAAAGGTGCATGCTTCTGGAATCTGGAGCCAAATGACTTTGCTATGCCAAACCCTTTAGCCTGAGAAGGAGAAGAATGTAGTGTCAAATTTTCATGGGCATCAGGATCACCTGGAGGGCTGGTTAAACCAGATTGCTGTTCTTGTCTTCAGTGTTTCTGACTCAGTAGGTTTGGGATGAAACCCAAGAGTTTTTGCTTTTCTACCAAGTTTCAGGTGATGCTGCTGGTCCGGGGACCACACTTTGAGAACCACTAATGTAGTGAGTGGTCTTAGAACTGTTGGATCTTGACCACTCTCTGGTCATTCCTTGCTGTTTCTTGTTTGTTGATCTTGCAAGGATAATAATTTATCCTCTGTTTCCTTAGCTCTGTGACCTTTCTTTGCACCTCACCCTGCTTTGTTATATTTGAGTGCATTTTTATTGGATCTTATGCTTATAAAGTAGTAAAGGTTAAAGGACTCTGGAGGAATGTCCTTTTTCATTGGGACATGATTTATTCAATAATAGGTTTAGTTTTTTGTTTTGTTTTGTTTTTGAGTCAGAGTCTCATTCTGTTGCCCAGGCTGGAATGCAGTGGCATGATCATGGCTCACATCAGCCTCAACTTCCTGGGCCCAGGTGAGCCCCCCAACTCAGCTTCTCAAGTAGCTGGGACTGCAGGTGTGCACCACCACATCTGGCTAATTTTTTTAATATATTATAGAGACAAGGTCTTACCATGTTGCCCAGGCTGGTCTCAAACTCCTGGGCTCAGGCAATCCTCTCACCTCTGCCTTCCAAAGCACTGGGATTATAGACATGAGTCACCGCGCCCAGCTGATACTAAATTTTTCAGCTAGGTTTTGCATCTTGCATTACATCCTAGAATGTTTGCAAGGTTGCCCTCCACCTCTTTCATCTGGTTCTACCTTCTGCTTCATCAGTGTCCAGACCATCTCTTTGCTCTAATACATGCTGATGTCTTCTGTCAACCTGTTCATATGCTGCCCCTCACCGAACTACAGCCCAAGGTGAGTCTAGATGACTCCTAGAGCCCCATTTATAGTCTCTATGACAACAGGTGAGCCTACATTCACTGCTTTCAAATGGGATTGGTTTTGCAACTAGGCATCCTGGCTTCCAGTTATACCCTGTAGAAAAAAAGACTTGGACACCAAAGGAGCTTATGAAAGAGAAGAAATGTACTTGCAGAGATTTGTGAAGGAGTCAAGACTTCAGCAAGAATGGCTTGTCAAACAACAGCAAAAGTTCAAAGGAATTCAAATTTGAGGCGGGCACTGGGCTCATGCCTGTAATCCCAGCAGCTTGGGAGGCCAAGGCAAGAGGAACACTTGAGGCCAGGAGTTCAAGAAAAACCTGGGCAACTTATTGAGACTCCATATCCACAAATATCTTTTTTAGAAATTAACCAGGCATGGTTGTACACCTGTAGTCCCAGCTATATGGAAGGCTGAGATGGAGGATCACTTGAACCCAGGAGTTGGAGGCTGCAGTGAGCCATGATTGTACCACTGTACCCTAGCCTGGGTGACAGAGCAAGGCCCTGTAAAAGCAAAACAAATGTTATGTAACAATGGAAAAAATACAAATGGAAAAAAAACCCCAACAAATTGTCAGATTTAAAAGTTTATCATAGGCTGTTCACAGTGTGCAAGAAAAACATTGACACTTGACTATCATATCTACAAAGGTCACATGATATCTCCTGACATCATCATTGCAGACATAAGGGATAATGCTGTTTTCCCTTAGAGAATGAGTACAGTATGTAAATGCTCAAGTTTCGTTTGTTTGGGGGACCAGGACTAAACAGAGTGACTATGTTATTTATGGTTCACCAGCGGATGTAGGTGTTTACTTTTCTTAACTCTGATTCACGATGGCAGCACCTCCAAGTGTCAATCTAACTCTCACAACCCTCACCTCACTTTTTCATCCTCTTGGGTTAGAGGGAAGTCTGCACCCCATTCAGACTGGACTTAATTTCTTTCAGCCCATTTCTACATCACTAACTAACTCCAACATGCTCTAATTATATTCCTCTCAGGCCAAATCTCCTAAGACATTTTTAATGGCTTCTTGTCTGGCTCTAAAAACATTTTAGTGGCTCTGCAGACGTCTCCTGACTATCTTCCGTATTCTGATCTCCTTCTGCAGCCAAACTCCAGAGCCCTGCTCGTGATGGGCAATAACTCAGGACCCACAGAGTACTTCAGGCTCTGCCTGATGAAACCACAGGCAGGAAGTGCACGAGGCATCAGGCCGGTTGCTTATATTTCTTATTTCCCTTTTTCTTTAGTCAGTCATTTGTGGATAAACATGTAGCCCACTTAGAAGACCCTCAACTGTCAAGCACTGGTTGAAATGATTTCTCTCCCTCTCTTTTTTTTTTTCGGAGTCTCACTCTGTCACCCAGGCTGGAGTGCAGTGGTATCATCTTAGTATCTCTTAGAACTCAGGATTTCAGGAATGTTCTGACACCAGGGAAGGGATGCTACCACTGTGGGAAGGGGAGTTTCTCTTTGAGCCACTCTGTTCCTGCTCCTTCTGGGGTAGCTTCCTTCTTCTCTACCTTCTTCTCTCCTTCTTCTCTTGCTCCTTAAACACCTGGGGTGGGACGTAGTCTCTCACAGTAACTGCTCTGACCCAGTCTAGTCGTTCCTCTTTTTTTAGAGGTAGGGCCTACAGCAGGAGCAGCCAACAGAGACTGGCAGGCCAAGTCACCTTGTGGCTGCTGCAGCTGCACACATGGAGAGGAAAAAGAGGGGAGGGCAGAGATCACATTTTGTAAAAGGGTGCTGGACAGACCATCCAACAATGGCCGATGGTCGTCCTTCTCGTAAGAGTGAGAGATGCCAGCACAATGGTTCATGCCTATAATCCCAGCACTTTGGGAGAGAATTGCTTGAGCCCAGGAGTTCGAGATCAGCCTGGGCAACGTGGCAGACCTTATCTCTTCAAAAAAATCAAAATTAGCCAGGCATAGTGGCACACTCCTGTAGTCCCAGCTACTTAGAAGTCTGAGGCAGAAGGGTCGCCTGAGCCCAGGACTAGAGGCTGCAGTGAGCTGTGAGCATACCACTGCACTCCAGCCTGAGCAACAGTATAAGACTCCAACTCCAAAAAACAAAACAAAAAATCCTAACTAATAAAAGTGCATTAAAATGTTTCATGGTATGCTATAGAAAAAAATAATTAGGCTTGGAATTAAAAGGCAATAAAAATCGTGAATCGACAACCCATGGCAGACGAGGATATTATGTCATGCTTACACTTTTCCAACATGATTTCACATAATTCTCACAATAGTTCTTCGCCTTAGTCTGTTTTGTGTTGTTATTATGGAGTATCGCAATTCATAAAGAAAATACATTTGTTTCTCATAGTTTTGGAGGCTGGGAAGTCCAAGGGCATGGCACCAGTGTTTGATGAGGGCCTTCTTGGTATGCTATACCATGGCGTAAGGGCAAGAGCGCAAGAGAGATCTCACAAGAACTGAAACCATCCTTTTGTCAGAAACCCATTCTGGAGACAATAGCATTCACACATTCATGAGGGAGCCCTCACGAATGGTGTCTTAAAGATCCTACCTCACAACACTGTTGCACTGGGGATTAAGTTCCCTACACAAGAACTTTGGGGGACACATTCAAACCATAGCATCCTTCAAGGTAGATATGTCATTTTTCAAGTGAGGAAATAAAGGCTTGGGAAGTTTAATTAACTTGTCCTTGGTCACATAGCTAAGAACCAGGATCACATCCAGGAATGTCTGATGCAAAGTTCCTTGGTGCCCAGTGCTTGGCACATTCAGCTTTTCTGATGAGTCTAGAGACCAGGGGTAACTTTCTTGGTATAATGAAAGGAGATGATACATTTAATCTAAGTGATCTGGTAGCCATATGGGTATTAGATCCCCAAATTAGTCTCTGTGTGAACTTTTCCATAGAACTTTAAATGAAATATCACTTAAATGCACCAGATGGAGCCAGTGGTTCTTTCCACATCAGCTTTTCTGTGATACATTTTTCTAGATTGATGCATATGTGGTAAGCTCTCACTCTATTGCCTAGGCTGGAGTGCAGTGGCATGGATCATGGTTTCCTGCAGCTTTGACCTTCTGGGCTTAGGTGATCCTTCTGCCTCAGCCTCCCAAATAGCTGGAAATACAGGTGCACACCACTACGCCCGGCTAATCAATCTTTCTTTCTTTGCCCGAGCTGGTCTTGAACTCCTGGATTCAAGCCAAGCTCCTGCCTCAACCTCCCAAAGTGCTGGGATTGCGGGCATGAGCTACCACACCTGACCAACATCAGTTTTAGATTTAGCCTTTTGACTTTTCCTTCACCTACTGAACTGCAACCAGGATTGGGACAGACCAGGAAGCTAGTGGAGACGAAACAGGTGATAATGATATGCATGACAAAGGTAAATTTGTTACAGCATGTCAACTGCGAATGGGCACAGCATAAATACAGAACTGCACCTCCACAAAGAGGAGTACAAGGAGTGCCAAGGAAATGAATGCTTTAGGGGAGGAGGTGGTGGCCACAGGGAACCAGCAATTACTACTGAGACAGTTGGAGCAGAAGTTAGAAATTGAC